AATAAAAGGAAGCCATGACTTTTTTGCAGGATACATTATAATGCTTTGATTCTTGATAGGCTCTATTATTTATTGCTGTTCCCTCAAAAATATATAAAACAAGTTCTTGAAAATTCCAACAAAACTGAAACTTCAGTTAGGAGATATCATTCTAGCACAAAATTTCAGCCCATTCATTACTTAGGGAAATAAGAAATGGTGAACTTGTTAGAAAAGCAACTGCATGAGCTTGTGCAATACACTATATGAGAATCATAATAAAAAAATTAAAAAGAAGTTCTAAACACATATACAGAAGATTTTTTTTTAATGAAGAGTACCCGAAAAATCAAATGAGCATACAAGGCGAGAAAAGACAAGAAACAAAACAGTACGGCCATACCTGATGTCAACAGAAAAGGCTAGATCCCGAACTCTTGGTACTAAGTAAGTAGCATCTATTATAGTACTGCCATTAAAAAGGAAAAAAGGACAAACAGAATATGATGAAGTGAAAAGAGATGATATGCCGTTGATAACAAATCTAAATCTTCTGAATAAAAAAGGAATACAAATATAAATATGAATATCCTGATATTAAATGGATATCTTAACACATACTTGAGAACAACAGAAGCTGGTCCAAGACTTGGATGCAACCTGTTGTGATTATGCATGTCGGCTAATCCACTCATGGCACCTTGGAGTATCTTAACAACAAAATGCATTCTGCTTTTAATGGTTTGATTCTGCTCAGAAGGACCAGGTGACTTTTCTCCTAGAATGTGAGCTCTTGATATTTGCTCACTTGTAATTTTTGCAAAATCTGCAGCACTATACTTTCCATCATTACGAAAAGCAAGCCACTGTATCGAATAAGGTAATTCAATTTAAATATACCAAAAAGGAAAAATACTCATATAACTTTCATGAAAAAGACAGACCTGCTCCCCAGCTTTTGTCTCAAATTCACCTAGAAGTAAGAGGATATTCTTACATATACCTTTCGCTCTCAGACTGCTCTGTTAAGAGTCATAGATAAAACCAATTAAAATTCTGCTTTACCCCTCGCACTGATCTGTTGAAAACTTACTCTCGCTAAATCTTACCTGAAGGAATGCATAAGCATTGAGTTCATTGGCAGCCATCATATCAGCTTCAACACCACCACCTCATTGTCCACGATAAACCTTCAAAGTTTAATTATATTGAATTTGAGTAAAGAGAATCTAATTAAATTAAACTAAACTAATCAAGCAACTCTATTTTTATTTTTGGCCATTTGCAACTCTCTCAATACATTGAATATAATAAAGGATTACCTTTTCTCTTTTCAGATATATATAGTCTCAACTAAGAGGATTCATCCAGTTGTATGTCTGTATATCAGGGAATGAATAAATAGGAGTGAAAAAGGAATTCCTTTAAAAATTCTTAACTGCTTAGAGAAGAGGTTGATGGGGAAGAAAGATATTCTTAAAAGGCTCAACAATAAGTTTATGAAGAAAGGACACAGCAATAGATTTCAATTTCTGAGGAGGAAAGTGAATGTATTGGGGCAGAGAAAACCTAATGTAACAAATTAGTCTTTTATGTAGCTTATATTTGGCCATCATGGCTGTTAAAGATTTACAATGTTCTTGGGCCGTCATTTTGGTGAAAAAGCTCCTGTTTCATTTAAAATGAATTTCAGCACATAACATCAAGCCTTTCTCCGCTAATTAGTCCAATTTCAAATTAATAATCACATAAATTTTTCATTTTCCTTGAGAGAGAAATATATAAACATGAAGCAACTTCAATCAAGCAGCATACACGCATAAATCAAGCATAATAAACAGTCTATAATTCACAGTATCACCTCTCAAAAAAGTTTTTTTCTTTTGTCTTTTTTTTTTTTTTTTTCTGGTTCCCTCTCTGTCTCTACAAATCTGCCAACATTTATAGATTCACTCTTACTCTAAATAGTGGGAAGGGTGTTTTTTTTCGATGCTATGAACTTTTAAGTCCCCTTGATGGAAAACAACAGATCTTATGGTAGTAAATATAGAAATTTAATAACTTTGATAATGGGATGGGTTAATTGGGGATTAATCTGAGAGCACATCAATATAACAAAAACAAAAAAACTAAGCAAACAGAATATAATTGGCTGAAACATAATATAATATCTGACCTTAAAGATCCTCCCTTAAGCAGGCCCTGAGCTATTCTTCCTTCAAAAGGCCTGCAGATGGACTGCTGTTGGTAGCATCAGTAGCAGCAAGAATATGATTTTGCTAACATTGTCAAAATGCTATTCTTACTTCATTACCTGATTTTTACACTGTCTTCTCCAACATCTTGAACTCTTAATGGTCCCGGAGGAGAAAATTCAAGATCTGCCACTGACTGAAACCCCGAGTAGCTGCAAACAAGAATTAATTAACACCATTTTCTCATCATCTCTCAGACCTTAAAACCACTAGATTAATCCTAAACTCAGCAATCCAGAAGAGAACAAACTGAGAATTCCATCAGAAAAATGATACCTTGTAACATTCATGAATCCATAGCTACCGATGAGTCGCCCCACATCGAACGAGTCAGGGTTGGTGATTAGACTCGCTCTGCAGAGTCGAGTCAGCCGAGTTCGACTCGCTGAGTTTACATTCGTTCCCTTCAAGAGAATGGCCTTGGGTTTTCTGAACAAAGATGATGAAGAAGAAGAAGAGAGGAAGCAATCGGGGGCTGCAAAGAGCATGTTTAGTTTTCTGTTGCAACTAGAAATGGCGTGCACTGAGCCTTTGTTTGGATTGAGGGAGTTCAGGGGGAAGGGAAGGAGAGTGACGGAGAGGTTTCTCCTCTCTCCTGTTTGGATAACAACATTAAACGAGGGGAGTGGAAGGGGAGATGGATGTTGGAGATCAACTCTCTCCGAATCCCTTATTTTTAATTCCTCGGGGATGAGAAGGAATTTCTTTCTTCTTTTTTTTTCAAATAAATAATTAAAATTTTTATTGTAATTTTAATTTTAATGTATGACTTTATAAAATTTTAATTAATTTTTTTAAATTTATTTAATTAAATAGAAAAATATAATCCCCTCCCTTTCCTTTCTCTTTTCCAATATATCTAAACAAAGTTAATACCAATCGTTTACTCTTCCTCTCTTCCCCTTGCTTTTCTTTTCCTCCTTTTCTTCATTTCCCTTTACTAAGTTTTATCCAAACATATGCTGAGAGAAAATTGGGTAAGGCTTATGGGATTGAAGCGCCATGGCTTGAAATATCAATTCTAAATTGTTTTTCAACTCTGGACTTCTCATGTGAAATCAATTAATACCTCTTACTTTTTTTTCTTACTCAATCGAAACCTTCTTTTTAATTTTGTTAGTTAAAGTCTCAAGTCCTAATCTTCTATTTTTTTCCTTCTTCTACCAAATCCTATACATATAAACGCTAACCATGACTTATAGAGGAGACGTCTATTTTATTTCCCATACTTATACCAGTTTTCTTGATGCTTGAATTATACTTATTGGCATGCTTAATTTTGAAATTTATAAACAAAAAGGGAAACCCTAATATTCACTTATTGAGATTATATCTCACATTTGTTTCTCCTTGTCCATCATTTTAGGTAACGATACTAAAGATGTTAGGGATTAGGGCGTGTGATGAATACTTATTAGAATTAGTTTGGACTTAGTTGAGATTCGATTTAGTTCTTTTGGGATTATTAGATAGTTGACGATTTGATTTGCAATTATTACAAAATTTGACTTTGAAGTATTTATTTAAACATTACTTAGATTTTAATTATTATAGAGGTAGTAATAGACTTCAATAATTTGTAATTGATTATATATAGTAAGCTAGCTTGGTTCTAAACCTGGTGCACTTGTGGGTCACACTCGCAAGTGTATGGCGTCTGTTTCACTCTAAGGTTTGGGGCGTGACAGGTTTAAGGTCAACGAAACCCAATGGCTGAGGGATGCCATGGGTGAAATAAGGAGTTTGGAAGGTAGTTTTCTAGTAATAGGAATTAAGAGAAAGTTGAATTGATCTGTGGGTAGTGGGAAAGATAATATGGGGGGTAAAGAGTGCTGGTTGGAGGGTGTATGTCAGGTTGGTGAGGGGGTGGAGGAAACAAATGGTAGGTAGGGAGGGGTACAACTTAGAATTGTGTTCATATGGTTTTGGGAAATCTAGAAAATTGTGATTTAGTTCCAAGTTTGAATTTGGAGGTGAATTATGGCACGAAACCATGGAAGAGATTAGCTAGGGACAAGGGGAATGCTGAAAGTGAGAGTTCCTCTCTAGTGGCAAGATTGACAAGTGAAAGGGTACTGCAAGTGAAGTGGCACTAGCCAGTGAGTTTTGTGATAATAAGAGCAAAAATGCTGAAGTAGTGAGGGGTTCTCAAGCGAGGGCAAACAGGAGGTTTACTCTCCATTAGTTTTGTTCAGTGTTTTTGGGCCCAGTCCAATGGTTGACCTGTTTTGACCGTCAAATTTGGTTCAATCGGTTGAATTGGTTCACCTGATCGATTCAACTGGTCAACTAAAAAAAAACACTTTTTTTTACATATTTATTAGATTTTAGATTTTAGATTTTAGATTTTACTATTGTTCTGTTGCAAAGAAGAAGATTTGCTCTACTACTGCTTGGTACGGTGGATGAAGGAAGGTGCTACTACTCTGTTCGATGGATGAAGGAGAAGTTGTTTCTGTCCACTGGGAAAGAGAGGAAGGTGAGAAGTAGATGCTCCTCTGTTCGGTGAAGGGGAATAGCAGGAACTGTTCACTAAAGGGGAAGAGAAAGAAGGTCAGTAGAGGAAGGTAGGGACAATGAGCCACAAAGGCCTGGAAAGGGCTGTCAACGGTGGTGGTTGCGAGCAAATGTAGATATGTTCTACTGTTGCTGCTCTGTTTGGTGAAGGAGAAGCTACTGTTGTTTGGTGGAGGAAGGTAAGGAAGATGAGTTACGAAGGGCTGGAAAGGGCTAGTGGTGGTGGTGGTTGAGAGCAGGAAGATCGGTGGAAGAAGGATTTGGTTCTTCTTCTTTCTATTTTCTGCACTTTGCAATGTTTTTGGGCTGTCGACGCTGAGTATAGTTTTTTTTTTTCAATTTTGATCTTCTATTAGGGTTTTCTTAATCTAATTTTAATTGTAGTTAAGGGTTTCTAATGTAAAAATATTAAAAAGATGGGATAAAATGAGTATATTGCCTTGAAAATGAAAAAAAAAAAAAAGGGTTAATTGAAGAGTTGAGGTGCAACCTGACGAGTTTAACAGGTGGAACAGGTAAGACGGTTGGAGCGGGTTAGACGGATTGGAGTGGGCCAAATGTCAAAATGGGTTAAGGGATGTATTCAGCCCGTTTTCAAGTACGAGTCCAATTGAACCAGTTCAACCGATGGATCGAATTGAGCCCAAAAACACTGGTTTTGTTTATTTACTCCTTCACTTATGTCCTTTTGTAGCCGGATGTTTCCGGGCCAACTCGGGTTATTAATCTTGTCTTTTAAGAACATTTGTGTGGATTCCAGTGAGACTTGGTGGTGGCAATAAGTCATTATTCTAGCTTTCCTCTTCAATATTTGTTAAATTCTATTTAATTTGATAACCTCGGTTCTATTTTTTTAATGACATGATATTTTCTGTTTTTCGCATCAAGTTAGCTACTAAAAAAGAGTTAATCAATTTCATTTAACTATTTGTTAAGAGAATGTCATGTCACAAAAAAATAAATTTAAAATTATTAAATCACCAAAAACTTAATAAGTATTGAAAGAAAAAGACATGATAATAATGTATGATTATATTACCTGATAAATTTTTTTAACTAAAATATAAAAAACTAATTCAATTTAATTTAAAAGTAGTAGATATTCTTTTTTTTTTTTTGAACAAATTATAATTATTTACCTATGTTAATTAAGAGATAAGGAAAGAAATTCTGTAAGACTCAATCATGCACGTCCCTGACTCAAGATACATGCCATTGGCTGGAACAAGCCATTTTGTAGATATTCATTTCATAAAAAACAGAGAATATACCTTTTGTGCCATACTTTTATAAGAAGCTGGAAATAAATAAGAGTCTAATATTTTTTTTTTATATATATTGCCAAAAACTTAAAAGGAATATCTATTAAGTTGTTTAGTTATTCCCAATTTTCT